GGCTGATCCGATCCGAAAATTCCACATATTGTACGGGAGCCCTCGACGAGACGAACCGAATGGTATATAATAATCCACAGGCTGACTAAAAATAACGCCGATGCGACGACCGAAAAGTGGAGCACACGCAACACACAACCTAACGGTATTGTGACACGTGGTCCTTCCCTGGAAGATGTTACAGCTGAAGATGTGACAGAACTTTTAGAAGCCCATGATTAGCCACTCTCAAATTAAGACTTAGAAGAATTATACAAAGAATTAGATCGTGAACAGTCAGAGAAGGAAGAAAATGAAGAAACTCCAAGAGTTATGAAAATGGCTGATCTAAAGCGTTTAGATTATGGAAAGTTTGACGGATAAACTTTGAGTTAGACAATGATTGGAAGTAAAGTGCAAATGTAAAAAGGAGCATTGTCGCATCCATTCAACCATATTCCGAAATTCTTAATGAAAGAAAACAAAAATCGAAACAATTAAAGATGATACTTTTTTCTAAAAAACATAAGAGATCTGAAACTTTGAAATATCATTTGTTTTTCTTAAAGTGAAATGTTTTTATTAAAAAATCTTATTTTATCATAAAATACATTTTAAAAATTAATTGTATAATATATGTATTTTGTATTATATTGTATTAATAAACAAAATTATTTGCTTATTTTTCACTTATGTAGAACCTAACACTATACATCACTGTAAATATGGGTTCATTTTATGCCGATTCAATTTGCACCGGCTTTTGTAGGAATGGAACTGTGACATAAACTGAGGGCTACCCATATAGTGACAATTTTTTTTATGTAGTACAGTATATAAAAGAATTATATTTAATCAGTCAAATCTTATGTTTATTGCTTTTTATATATTGTCAAATTAAATTCATAAATATAATTTATAACAGTTGATGTCATTTGCTAAAGATATTAAAGGTATTATTTTTGATGTCATTCATTAATGAATCAATTGATATCAATTAGAATGCATTTATATTTTTAAAATTTTGAATATGATGCTAAGATCATTTTAATAACAATCCATATTTTCATCATTTAACATTTTTCTTCTATAATGTAAATGCTTGAAGAGGACTTATCATTTCCTACCAATTGATATGAAATGTATGTTTTGTACTTATTCTGTCTTTCTCTTCTGTCAGCTTATCTATAATCCTATTCATCTAGCTCCCTGTTCCACACATCCAGTTGATGTTGGACTACTATTTTTTCTCCCACCAGTACTATGTCATCTGCAAATAGCTGAGCCCTTGACTGTTTTGTGATCTAGTTATCAAAAATAATAGTGATAAGAAAAATTCTAAATATATATTCATTCATAATGTTTAATAATTTATTACAGGTGTGGAAAAATCGGATATAACAGGAAATAAACTTCTAACATTGTTAAAAAATGCATCTCTTAATGATGATGATATCCAAATGATGATTGATGTTCTTTTAAACAAACAGAGTGATAGTTCTGAATGGACAAAGGTAATTGTTCATTTTAACAATTTAATTTAACATTTTAATTTAACAATTTAATTTATTCCATAATTGATTTGTTAATGAATTGTTTAATATACAAAAGTTAAAATTGTAATTTTGTTAAATACAAAGATAATGTCTTAATTTTTATTGAAATTAGTGAATGTTCTTAAGGTATTGGAATGAAAATTTGATGATGATAATCAATTGGAATTATTTTTGATAAGTTATCAAATACCACAAATAAGATGGTTAAAGCAATCCACTGAGGTATATTATGGTGGGGGTTTTATTTTCAAATCTTCTTTCTTCTAAGGGCATATTTGCTGTTTACTTTAATTTTCAATTTGCATATAGTATATCCATATGATCCATTGTTCTTCCATTTATTAACAAAATCTCTCAGGAGTTATATAAAATTTATTAGATAATGTCATCTACCAGTAGACATCACTAAATGGTAAACATCAACATCCAAACAACACTGGGGTGAAGTCAACAACTTACCTTGAAGCTGTTACTAGTGTGAGTTGCAAGAAGGATAAAGTACATCACAAATGTTTTCAAACTGATTACAGTTCTTCTTCAGAATATCTGGTGGAATGCAGAGTAAATAGGACATGAACATTTGAATATTAGATCAAATCCGTGTCTCATCAAATTGTCCTGATGGACATGCGCATTCATGTGGGTAGCAGCTGTTAGCATTTAAATATCAGTATCCATCAGGGCCTGCCATGCAACCTACAAATTTAACTTTTCCTTGTGATTGATGCAAGAGACAGTGAGGCTAGATTTATATATGGAAATGGCCTCTAATCATCTCAGGTATTCAGTGTGAGGCAAAGGGAGGATGCCTTTTGCCTGGTTAAAGGCCGTTTCATTGTCTGGATCAGCACGTAAATCGCGAGGGCCGTGGTATTCCTCATGTGTTGTATGTCGGCACAGTGTTCCGTACTCTGACTTCCAAAGACCACTTGGTGGAATCAATGTAAATAACATCCCTATCAAACCTGCAGTCTCTAAGAGGGATACAGTAAACACCTGGGAGTCTGTTCTAGTTGGGGGAGTCTTTTCTGTTGCGGAGGATGTCAAAGATGGTCAGACACCTCCTGTACATGATCCGAACGTGGCGTTTCTTGATGATCTCAGTATATAACGATTTAACATACAGATTAAACATGATAGAAACCTGTTCATCATTGGGACAGTTGTCACCATGCGTGCGGGTGGTGGTGGCGCAGTGGTATCAATCAGTGAGCAGTGGTATCAATCAGTTTATGGGTAAGATTGGGGTACCCATGTGTAGCCGCTACGCATTCTATAAGTGTTAATTCGGCAGCTAGTGCTTATGGAGTAGACAAATGAGAAAATGCCATCCTAATTAAAGTGTTAAATGCTGCTGTATTATATGGAAATGGGTCACATGACTCTACATGTATGTAAACGGAGACTGAACATGGTTTATGGTAAACAGAGGTGTGGATGGCCATTCCTTCGACCTTAACATTTATGTCAAGGAAGTGGACCTCCATGGGGTTAGCTTGTTCAATTTTTAGGGTTAAGCCATATGGGTTGTCATTAACAGATTTGATGAATGCCATAACATCTGGTATAATCCTGTATAGAATGATGTCATCTATATACCTCCTATATAAAAGGATGTTGAGGAGGAACCATGGGAGGATCTTGTATTCTGTCTTATAACCATTTCATAGGTCTTCTGAAATTGAGTTGCCCATGGGGACCCCATTTTCTGCGTGTAGACCGTGCCATTAAACAGAAAAAATTAATTATAGCAAATTAGGTGGGTCATCTATGCACATGTTGGTGTAGGGTGTCATCTTTGACAATACTGAATAGTAGGTCCCCGAGGGCACAAAAGGCTAGAGGGAGCTCCACAGAAGGGTATAGAGGCTTAAAGTCCAAACAGTAATATATTGAGGGAAGGAGGTGAGTTCCTTCAGAAGGGTTATGAGGTCCACAGATTAGTCACAGTATAAGGATACCTTTCAAGGTGGGGGGGAGAGCAGGATGTGAGTGGCCTTTTCAAGCTTATGCATAGGTGCTGTAGCTTTATCAACAATGGGGCGGAGATGCATCTAGCTCCCTGTTCCACACATCCAGTTGATGTTGGACTACTATTTTTTCTCCCACCAGTGCTATGTCATCTGCAAATAGCCGAGCCCTTGACTGTTTTGTGATCTAGTTATCAAAAATAATAGTGATAAGAAAAATTCTAAATATATATTCATTCATAATGTTTAATAATTTATTACAGGTGTGGAAAAATCGGATATAACAGGAAATAAACTTCTAACATTGTTAAAAAATGCATCTCTTNGGAGTTGCTGTCCCTGTTTACGGGTCTTGGCGAACACAATGAGCTTAGGGGTATCTGGAGTCGTCAACTACGTTACTCAAAGCTAGGTGATTAACTAATTTGGAATTACAAACATTTGTGATGTACTTTGTCCTTCTTGCAATTCACACCTGTAACAGGTTTATGGTACATTGTCGTCATCTACCATATATAAGATCACCAAATGTTGCCAGAGCTAGATTAGGTTTCCCTATTAAGTGAAAAATTTAAATGCTTTTTGATTGTTTACTTAAAAATTTTAATCTCTCTTAATTGAGTGGTCTTAGAATCACTCAAAACTTCTCATGTATTTGTGTTTCCTCAAGTATTACCCCTAGATGATGATAAATTTTTTACTATGTAGCTAATAGTATGATTAATGTGGAACATGTTTTATTGTGATTACATAATCTTTTGTATTGCTAGTAAAGATATGCTATATCAAACATAATTGTTTAAAACAGACAAATCAAACATTATAGATTTTAATTTTTGAGCTATTTTGTTGTTTTGGGTGATGGAAATCCTTGTCCTGGACGTTTTTCTTTTGTAACTAAAATAGAATTTTCTGTTTAATTTTGACAATGCATTATTTTAAAAATCTTTAGAAAAATGATCCAGTTGCAGTTTTGAAGAAGCATCTTCAAGAAAATGAATCTGCACTTGAAACAGAACAAAAATTAGTTCAAGCAGCAAATGCCAAGCTTAAAGAACTTAGGCAAGATCTGATTCATGAAAAAAGTAAAGCCACTACAAATGACAGAAATTTGAGAGAAAAGATTAATCAGCAACAACAAGAACTTCAGAATTTACATAATCGTATGCAGTGTACACTTGAACAACATTTATCTGAGAGATCTAATTTGCAATCTAAACTTCAGCAAGTAAGTTTTTAATAAAAATTAATAATTCTTAATCTTGTGTTTGTAATTTTTGACGTATTTTGATGAGATTCATTAATCTAAAAATTTTAATTTTGGAGTTTAGATTGTCATCAGACTAGCTGCATTCAAAATTAAATTTAAATTAATCTTGAAAAAGTTTAACATGTTATTTAAAAGTTTAACACATATTTTGAACATTATTTTTCATTATTGGAATGCTGTTAAATATACAGGTAACTTTTAAATAACATGGTAGTTAGATTTCTACATAAAAATATCATAAACAATGTTATACAGAACTAAACCAGAGAAAAGGGGGTTATATTCAAAAAGCTTGAAAAAATAAAATAGTAGACTCCCCCCCCTATAACACTGTAGATAATTCTGTGTTATATGAATTCCATGTTGTATGAGTCACTTAGATTTTACAAATATGTGTGCTGTTCACAGCCCAGCACACATATTTGTAAAATCTAAGTGACTCATACAACATGGAATTCATATAACACAGAATTATCTAGTGTTATAGGGGGGTCTACTGTATTTTAAATTATTGCTATTTTAAGAATTGAAAAACTAACTGAACACGCATCTTTACAAACACCTGTTGTATCTTGTGTGTGGTAATATCATATTTTTTTTTTTATTGCCCTCCAAAGTCAAATTATCCTCTGACTTGAGATTTGGTTTTCTAACCAAATCAAGTCAGACTTTCTACAAATCTGTTTTGTCAACCTCTTTCTGCCAGTAAATTTTTGAACTTTGATCATATCAAAACATTCCTCTCCTATGAACTTTACGAGTTTTAATATTGCACCAATTCTATGTCTGACAATATTTCCTGAATGAATTGACTCTATTGAGTGTTACTACTATGAGAAATGAAATATGATTGATACCATCCTCAATTGAAAAATATTTCCAATCCTCCATGACTTTAGTCATAATCAATTTTTACCAGAAGCCATTTGTAACAGTGGTGTGCCGTCATTGGAAATGGTGAAAGTGCCGCTTTCCTTGTATTTTCTAAAAAATAAATACATATTAATTTTAATTATATGAAAATAATCGCACAATATTTTATTATAGCCGCATTATGTATCTTATTACAAATTTCTATACTAAATGTGAAAAAAAAAAGATAAGATTGCTATTGTACATTCGAATATTAGTGGCAGAGTGGAAGTGCTGTATTGTCAGTTTCCAAACAGCCAGATTTGCACATGCGCTTTAGAGCACCAACCTCACCTGGTTTAGCTGGTGGAAGCCAAGGGCCTTGGGTGGAAGCTACACATGTATAACACTTCTAATTCTATCCAGGACTGGTTCTGGGCGTTAGCTGCCTGCCTGCTAGATATTTCGCCGCCCTCGCCCGATTATGTGAATCATGAGTAGATTTATAACTTAACCCAACCGATAAGAATTTACTGGTATGTTTTTATGATAGTTCTGTATAGTTGATAGAATTTAAGAAAAAATCCATTAAAATATTTGATATATTTATTTTGCTTTTATTCCACATTCCCATCTTATATTACTTACGGATTTCAATGTTAAACCAGTGATATTACAATTTTGTACATCCCATCTATAAGTGGATGTAGAAAAAAATGTGTACAATTCTTGTACAATGTTAAAAAAATTACCCGTTACTTTGGTAGCATCATTTACAACTAAATTTAATGAATGAGAGAGATGCATGAGGTACAGAAAAAGCTCTAGAATTTATTTTCCTTAAATTTACAATTTATGTATCTGTTTATCATAAAAATTTGTCTTTCCACTTTTTTCCCAAGACTACAAGTATTTGAGTACAAAGTAACCAGTTTGACTTATTTCTACTTAAGAAGTAGTTAAATAATTAAGCGATTAGGGAATTGGGGACAAAATAAAACCCTGCTGAAAGAGTTGGAATATTACTTAAACAAAAGCTTAACCGACCCAATCTCTAGCTGAGTACAGTGGGGACTGATTTCTTTGTAATATTAGACGTAATATAAACAAATTTTTCCAATTCAATGAGAGTGATCGAAAAGTTGTAAATTTTGGAAATTTCTGTGGACACCTGGTCCTAAAAAGAATTAGAAAACAAATGACTATTAAGTTTAACATATGCAGATTTTTACAGCTATGGCGAGAAATGTTTAAAATTTACAACAACCCTGTTGCATCCTTTGAGATATGCTAGTGATGCTAGAAAAGAGGCATTTGACATTGACCGGTAAGGGCACCCTCGGGATTTGGCAGCCTGCTTGCATGCACGCACCGCACACCTAGCAGGACCGTCTGATTCCACTCGTAGAGAGCTATTTTACTAAGTGGTTAAGATTTGTAGAGTAAATAATATTTTATGTTATTTTTATGTACGTTTCATTACAAAGCTATATTTAATTATAATTTTCTTTAAAAATATATTCATACAATTGAAGAATATTTTGTACCAGGTATGTACTGTACAGTACTGCATATCCAACACACATTTTATTTAGCCAAGTAAGTTTTTATAATTTTAATTTTAGCCCTTATATCGTGGCTAGCAATTCAGAATGTAATTGCAATATTGAAAATTTATTTTAAAAAAGTTTTGGCTCGATCGTATAATGAAAAAGAAAACATTATTAAAAGAGAAAGACCAATGCCTAAGTTAAATATAAACACTTCAATAAAAATTTGTTTGACATTTTCACAATAAAAATGACTCTGTAAATGCATAAAAATGCAAAAATTGTTTTGTTGGCATGCCTACTATTTTCAAATGAAATTAGTGTATGGAATAAGAATAGCTTTGACAATTTAGCTGGCAAAAGACACGAAAAATCGTCTATTCTTTTGAAGCAATTTGGAAATTGAAGCAGAATGGAATTTAACATTAGTAAATAATATAAAATAAATATTGAAAATTATAATGAGATAGTTACGGCTAATAGTTATATTTAAATTAATAGATGTTATATGTTTTTATCAAAGCAAGAATCAGCATTTAGAGGGCATATGGAATATATTGAATCTAATAACAGAGGTAATTAAATTGAACTTGTTTATTTATTAATTACATCAGATAAATCTATTAATAATACATTTAAAGAATTAACCGATTGCCCCTGGAAGGTGGCTTCTTACAGAAACACAGCTTCCCAATCATCAAATGTCACGGTACGCCACTGATTTGTAATGAGTTTCAAAAATAGCTAGATATATAATTGAAAGATTGACAACAAAAAAGATTAGAAATATTGAAAAATTTACATCCAACATAAGTAAATTTCTCATTAAAAAAAAAAAAATGTTAAGCACGGCTTGCTACATTACTCGAGTCGTGTTTAGAGTGAAGTCTTGTCAAAATATCATGTTATACAGAGGTTGCCTATATCTTGCTTCTGATAGATTAATTTTCTTAAATTGTCATCTTAAACTATATATTTTTACTTTTTAAAGTAATAAATATTAGTTTATTTGAATTCTTTAGCTTTATCTTCTTGAAATTGGAGATTATTGTATTTTCATTTCAAATGCCTGCTGGTTGTGTATTTAAAAGATAGTTTATGTGATTGGGTTATATGCAGAATTTAAATTGCATTTACAAACTCATCAGTTTTTTCTTTGTCTAAAGTTGCTAAGAGCATTTTAGACAGCATAAAATTGTTCATGGTAGACATTTGCCATTGTGGAGTTTGGTTTCAGAAAAAAGATGTGTTACATTGCCTTCAAGTTCTTTCCATTTATTTTTTGTAAATTTAACCATTTTAGAATTGATATTCACTTCTGTTTGAATTTGTATCTTAAGCTGAAGTTTCCAGTAATTCCAGTGAAATAACAAATTTTTAAAATGTTTGGTCTAATGCATTTTGTTATTTATTTAAAATGATTTTCAAATTACTTTTCTACATTAGACTTAAAATGTTCAAATGTTGTCTTGTACAAGTGCAACTAAACCTCTTATTAGAAGTTACACATGCTCTACTGACATTCAGATGAAATTTGACCTAGACAAATGCAAAACACCTTCATAGAAGAAATTCTGAAGAAAAATGATTTTGTACTCAATGGAGATATCATTGATTGATTCTTTGGAAGAGGCAAAGTCTACAAATATTCAGAATTCCAACAGGTCAAATTAGCAGAACTTGCACATATAAAACAGACTAACCAAAGGAATGCAACAGATTACTCAGTACTAACCACACACATTTAAAGCAATCATCACATCATGTCATCTTAGTACTGACATACACAACTAGAACTTAAAATGAATATATCAAATGTATAAGAACTCCAAAACAAAATGCATAAATGAACTAAATAACCACTACTCTGTTGTCCTTAGAAAGGCTGGCTATTCCTAGTAGGAGAATGAGGACTCAGATATAAATCTTCACTATAAACACACTTGTTATGTTCTATAATATCAAATTACAGAAAGCAGTAACCCTTGAAGACACACAGTAATATGAAACTTATACAATACTGACATGGATCTGACATAGAACATAAGAAACAAATTCCCATCAGGCAGTATTGGACTCTGAATGAACTTCACATTTTAGCCAGGATTATGTTGACAGAATTGCATCAAAATTGCTGGCTGACTTGGTCTTTTTGGACAGAGAGAAGGGTTCATGATTTCCATACAAGACTGGTTCATAGACACATTTTTTAAACAATACTTCCAGATGACACTTGTATGAAATGCCACATGTATGAAACTATACATGTCACATTAGGTTGCAAGAATTTTAACACAAACTGACTACTTACATCAACAAAATCAAATGGTAAATATAATGATGCATTATATTTACCATTTGATTTTGTTGATGTAAGTAGTCAGTTTGTGTTATATAATGAAACATACAGTAAATATAATGATGCATTATATTTACCATATGTTTCTTATGAAAATATTTTGTGCATGTAAGCTTTTGATGCAAAAGTTTACATGCCCAAAATATTACTATAACCTGGAATCATACTAAAAATACACTCCTCACTGCCATAGTAAACATACAAAATGTACTATAACTATATTCATAGACAAAACAATCCATGACAAACCAGACATCACATTTATTGAGAAACAATCATGTTCATAGACATAGCTCTACGAAATGCTCAAAATATACAAAATTACATACTGAAGAAATTTTGTAAATACTCAAAACTTACCCATGACAAAGTTCTTGGGGAGAATGAATAAGGTACTATATTAATTGAGCCTATAGACTTTGACAGATATTCCACAAAGATAAAAAATTTTAGATTGCATGTGATTTTTCACTTTTCATAAGTTTGTTATAAATTTTATTAGCTTTTAATGCTATTTTATTCTGTTGCTCACTTTATTACTAAAGTTGTACAAGACAGAGTTTAATTTTTTTTTCTGTACTCAAAACTTGAAAATTACTAATTCAGAGTGAGTTCTTTTGCTGCATGTTATCATCCCTCCAAACTATTTTGTAAATGCATTTTATGTGGCATCTGATTTTTATCTTTTTAATTTTGTTTACAAGATTTAGTTATGCATTCATTATTTGTGAAATTTTTTTTTATAAAGCATCATATATACTTTTTGACAAAATATTTTTTAGGCTGAACAAATTCAGAAAAAATTAAATGAAGAACATAATATTACAGTTCAGAGATTAAAAGATGACAAGAGTCAACTTCAGCAAGCCCTTTCACGATTAGAGACAGAGTAAGTATGATTTGTTATAAGTGTTACAGCTAAGCTCATGAATTGGATAAAGCTAGAATTAACTGGTTAATGTTAACTTTGTTACTTGCTTTAACCAGTTTTTATTTGCTAGAAAAAATTGTAAGAGCTTTAATGGAACGTTTCTTCTAAGTCTTAAGTGTTTTTCAAAATTTTATTTCTTAAGTTTTAAGATTGAGAAGTTAAAAATTATTTGGAAGTGAGATTGCACAGTTTAAAGTTTCAACCAACATATTATGACTATAATTTAGTCAACTTAAAAATACTTATTTCTCATTTCATTTATCTAAACTTACATAAATTTTACAATTAATACAAATATTTATATTATTCTAGTCAAAAAAGGAGTTCTCTAGAAATAACTAGGTTACAACGAGAAGTTGAGCAATTACTTTCGACTAGGGAACAATATGAAACAAGACAAGCTGCAATGCAACAAGCCCAAGATGATCTTCATCATCAAATACAACAATTAGAAGAACACATTCAAAAACTTGTCTCCACACACAAAGAAGATGAATTTAGTTATAAACAACATTTAACTGATATGAACAACAAATTTCAGCAAGCAGAGTCTGCTAAAACTGCTTTAACTCAAGATTTGCAAAATCTTCAATCTATATGTAATTCCTTAGAATCTGAAGGAATTAAATTGCGACAAAGGCTTGAAGAAGCAGAACATTTAGCAGGAAGTAAGACTCATGAATTACAACAATTACAGAAGACATTAGAGGTTTATTTTTTAAGTTTTTACCTCAAAAATTGTTAAATATTCTTATAGTAGTAATGTTTAAAAACTTTATTTAGGAAGCACATAAGAAACACATGGAATTAGCTAATTGTTGTGATCAACTTCAAAGTGAATTACTCCAGATGAAAAACAAAGAGAATGAACAGATTGAACAAATTGAAGATCATCAAAAAGAAAATAATAAATTAACAGAAGAATTAGCTAATGCAATTAATGAAATTGAAAAGCTAAAACTCCAGGTGACTGAGTTAAAGTAGATATACTAAACATTATGAATTTCTAGAAATATCTTTATTTCATTTTTTTCTTTTAATTTTTTTATATTGGTTGTTGAAATAATAATATTAATCTTAGCTTTTCTACAAAGGACTTAACTCTTCTTCTGCAAATACACTGCAAGAATTTTTCTACCAAAAAAAAATCACATCTACACAAATCAGCTTTCAGATGACAATAATACACCATTAAATCTACACAATGCTGATCTGGATCCAACAGTACACACAATGAACAGACTATCTTGGGTTCAGAAGGTGCTCTATGGTAGGCATTCTAATCTCAGCTGGGATCTTGTTGACAGAACTGTATCAAACTGCTGGCTTACTCATGAGTGCTTCTTTGGAGAGACAAAAGGTTTGATTACCATTCAAGATCATGTTGTAAAAAAAAATTTATAGAAAGCATATTTTGACACATTCCTAAATGACATTTACAGAAGTGTCTCAACAAGCATGAAACTCTACATCACATCAGGTCACAAACTTTTAACACAGATTATTTACATTGTTATAACCAAATAGCAAATGTGATATATGTATAGCACTTTCTTGCAAAATTGTATAGAATGAATAATGTACTTGTGCCAGTACAGTCACTTCTTGAGTTATGACCACCTCGACTTATGACCATTCGTACTTACGACGAAAAAATTTCATTAAAAAAAATAACTATAAAAAATTGATACATTTTTTTTTCATCAAATATATATCAATTTTTAATAGTTATTTTTATATATATATCTTGCACATTTCTGGCGATTGTGTGCTTCTGCAATTGATTGAGTCATCTTTAGTTTTGTTGTCAGCTAGTTACTCTTTGCACTTGTGTACCCTAGTTACCCTTCATGCTTGTGTAAGGTGGCTAATTGTTTTGTTATAACTAGTTTACTTGTAGTGTAAATTGGAAATTCTTCTTTATTTTACATTGATTTGTGATATTTTAGTCCCAAAATGGCTGATAAGACCAATGAAAGAAAAAGAAAGACAATAGACTTAGAGATGAAAATAAAATTGATAAAACAGCATGAGAGTGGCAAAACAGTGTCAAACTTGTCACATGAACATAAATTGTTGCATTCAACCATTTCAACTATAATAAAGGACAAAGAACGAATTTGTAAAGCAGTAAAGAGATCGTCATCAGTAAAATCAACCATCATCACAAAAAAACGAAATGGTCCCATACATGAAATGGAAAAATTAGACTTGGATGGAAGATTTATTATGAAAGAATGTTCCACTAAGTCTCATGACCATCCAAACTAAAGCACACAGTCTTTTTGAAGATTTAAAGAAGGGTGACAACTATGGCCAAAATTTCAATGCAAGCTCTGGCTGGTTTGAAAGGTTTAAAAAACATAAACTTCCATAATGTGAAGATTTGTGGAGAGGCAGCAATTGCAGATTTGAAAGCTGCCAAAATCTTCAAGGACAATTTTGAAGCAATGCTTGAAGGAAATTATATGCAGGAACAAATTTTTAATGTGGATGAAATTGTGTTATATTGGAAAAAATGTCTGAATGGATATACATTTAAAAAGAAGCTAAATGCATGCCTGGTTTTAAAGCATTTAAAGATTGTGCTACTTTTTTGTTGGGTGGAAATGTTTCTGGTTATAAATTGAAGCCGTTTATGATATATCGTTCCCAAAACCCAAGAGCCTTCAAGGGAATCGATAAGGATATATTACCACTACATTATCATGCCAATAAGAAGGTATGGATGACACAATGTCTTTTTGAAGACTGGTTTAACAACTGCTTTGTTGCAGAAGTAAAGAAATATTGTGATGAAAAAGACCTTGTTTTTAAAATTGTATTGCTTCTTGACAATGCTCCAGGTCACCCTCCACACTTAGAAGAGTCCCATCCAAACATAAAAGTGTTTTATTTATCACCTAATATCACAAGCATACTTCAGCTGATGGATCAAGAATGCATTGCTAACTTCAAAGTGCATTATTTAAGAGTCACTTTGCCCAAGCAATTGCGGGAACTGAGAAAGATCAAACATTGAGAGAATTTCGGGAAAATTATAACATTTTTCATGCAATAAAGAATATATCAGAAGGATGGTCCAATGTAACAACAAAATATATGAACGGCATATGGAACAAACTCTTAAAAAGGTTTAATAACAATATGACTTTAATAGAGAAGGGGAAATAGAAGAGGTAGTTAATGTTGTACAATTTGCTCAACAATTAAATCTGGAAGTTGATAATGAAGATGTAAATCAACTTTTGGAAAATAATGCGGAGGAACTCACAAACTGAGATCAGATTGAGATTGAGGAATGAGTTGCAGATAAAAATGTAATGGAGCTAAAAGAACTGGATGAACATGAAGAACCACCCAAAAAATTTGTGTTGAAAGAAATGGCATCAGCTTTTAGCAAAATCAATGAGGCAATTAAAAAATTTGAAAATATTGACTCAGACAAAAATAGATTTTCAAAAGTATAACGCAACGTCGTACCTTCAAAAATCTACCAAGCACTTGTCTGTTATAATGAAATTTATAACGAAAAGAAACAACTAACTGTCCAAACAAAATTGGACTTGTAGTGCTTTTTGTTTTTATAAAAGACTACACTCTCTGATAAATCTCAAGTCAGCAATGAATATCAATAGCACAGATGATGACGATAATCCAGAATAATTCTTTATATATATGTAAGAATTCTGAATTTATATATAGAAATCTGAATCTATATTCTGAATAAGTTATATATACAGTCGACCCCCCTATAAGATAGAGATACGTTCCATTCTCTAGGAATCCGCTTTCTTACGAATCCTTCCAATCACAACCCGACACGTATCAAGTTTACGGACTACGGCTGTTTGAAAGATTTTCTTCCATAAAATTAATCGATTCTAGACTAATCCGACTCAACATTTCCAAAATACGTATATATTTTTTGGGAATAATCCGTATAAACTACGCTATAAACAAAAAATTGTAGGATTACTTACCGAGTGTCACCATTCGACATNTCCACAAATTCACAGTTTTTAAAAATAACATATTATTTACATGTCAAATAGTAGCATGCCTAATGTGATCCCAACTCCAATTTGCATTGGCATTGTGTAATTTGAACAATGGACTTGTTATGCAAAAGATTACCTTGGTTTCGAAACTTAATATTCCATTGATATGTTGTGAAATTAATCTTTATTTTGTTATAAATTAGTTTGAACAACACTTGTAACTGCTTATTTGTAAATGTTATCATCCACTGTCTCTGCCAATAAATAAAGTGAGTAACTGTCAAAGCATTATTTTTAAATTTGTGTTTAGCACAAATGCTTGACAGTGGTCAGAAAAACATGAGATCTGGATACTATTGTTAAAATATGTTTTAATATTAATTCTTGTGTGTAGACCATGTTCATTAAATATAAATCATGCCACAAACTATTAGTCATTTAAATTTTAATTATGGCTTTGATGAAAGCAAATGTTGAGATGTTTACAGTATTTCAGAGAATCTGGTGTGTTTTTAAGTAAATTTAATCTAATATTTTATTACCTGTTTAAGTTATGTGAAGATTTTCATTTTTTTTTTATAATGATTATTAAACAGTTTGTGATGTAATGCTTTGCGTTTTAGAAATTAAATACATACAAAATTTGAATTATATAGATTCATTTACCTCTTAGTTGAATATACAACATTATTTATTAAAAAAATTTCTGCGGTAGAACATTACTTTATGAATTCTCACTTTGCATCCCGGTATAAATTTTCTTTTGTGAAACACAAAATGCTATATTTCAGGTTCACATGCACACATATACAGGATCTTCCAAAAAGAATGCTGCTGTTTTAAATTATTGTAATTATGTTATTTATTATACATTAAAACATGGAAAAACTGCCCAAGTTTTACATTTATTCATTATAATTTCTCAACATGTGCATCTTGCGTCACATAACACATACATTCAACTGATACAGTAACCTCAAGTTACAATCACCTTGACTTACGACCATTTGCACTTATGATGAAAAAATTTCATAAAAAAATTTAAAAAGTGTATTAATTTTTTTATAGCTTTCATCAAATATATATCATATACATAAATACCTTGCACGCTTCTTCAATCGATTGCGTCATATTTAGTTTTGTTGTGCAGTTAGTTACCCTTCATGTGTGCTTGTGTAATGTGGCTAATTGTTTTGGTATAAGTAGTTTACTTGTAGTGTAAATTGGAAATTCTATTTTATTTTACATTGATTTGTGATATTTTAGTCCCAAAATGGCTGGTAAGACCAATGAAAGACCAAAAAATGTGCTGAAAGAAATGGCATCAGCTTTTAGCAAAATCAATGAGGCAATTAAAAAATTTGAAAATATGGACTCAGACAACAATAGATTTTCCAAGGTACAGCGCAACATTCACCAAGCACTTGCCTGTTATAATGAAATTTATAATGAAAAGAAACAACAAACTGTCCAAACAAAATTGGATTTGTTCATAAAAACAAAAGCACTACTACTACACTCACTGATAAATCTCAAGAGTCAGCAATGAATAGAAGCAGCACAGATGATGATAATCCAGAATAATGCTTATATATATACTATTATTTATGTATGTAATTATTTACTTATATGTAGTTAACAATTAAAAATCAGAAATAAAAGCTATTAATTTTGATGTACATATGTCTATTATAATTGTATTATATTTATTTTTGTATGAAATCCAACTTACGTCCAAAGTTGTGGAACCGAATCCGTCATAAGTTGAGAAGTGACTGTACTCCTTTCTTGCACAGGCTTCATACTGAATACACTAATGTAGAAACATTAGGGCCTCACAACAGCATGTATATCACACTACAGAAAGCTGACATCCAGTACTAAGCACTTCAGTCAGAAAATTCTTACACAGGCACATTCATTAACATTGTACAAACAAAACACTTGTCAAGGTATAACTACCAAAAACAATCCAGCATAACACAAAGCACTGGTGTATATTTTCTTGTAAGCTACTAATACTGCTTTATTTTTTCTTTCAAATTTATTAGTCTCATTTAATGAAAAGATATTTTCAAGTTAGTAGGTTGTGAAAAAATTGATCAGAATTTCATGTACTAACTGAAATTTTTAAAGTTTGATTTAAATTTCAGGAAAAAAAAAACTGTTACTCTTGAATCTATATGGACCAGCAGATAAGCCTGGTATTGCCTGGGCAAAAAACAACAAAAAAGATTAAGATTATTAGATTATTTCGTACTTCCAATTCCTGGGCTACTAGAATAGTAGCCCAGGACTTGGGTCCACATAACACAAAGCACTGGTGTTACTATTCTAGTAGCCCAGGACACCCCCTAGTGGGCATTCTAGCAGCAGCAGTGTTATTCTGTGGTATAAATAATAAATTACTATTACAAATAAAAATAATAATAATCTGAATATCTCATGGCATAACCTACTAAAATGCAGCCCAGGACACCCCCTAGTGGGCATTCTAGCAGCAGCAGTGTTATTCTGTGGTATAAATAATAAATTACTATTACAAATAAAAATAATAATCTGAATTTCTCATGGCGTACCCTACTAAAATGCAGCCAAAAATGCAAAAAACTGCATGAAATAATAATACAGTGGGTGATCCGATAACAAACACTTTTGCGAAAGATTTTTATGTTCTGACAACGAACATATGATCAGATAACAAACACCTCACAGAACAAACACAGAAGTGACGTAAAATAATGAATACCGATTGGTCTTCCCTTGTCTTTGGGCAACAATTCGAAACTTTTCGGAGTGTGGGAGATGTCGACATCAATGCTCAAGCCGGTATATACTGATCAGATAGTATTCCTCTGAACTTTGAAACTCTCCCTTGTAATTCCAGCCTTTTATTTTTCTGACAAAACAATTCTTTTATGTATTCGCGAGACTGTTGGGTAGGCACTTGTTAAGTCTCGTCTGTTTTACTTTTTGAAAGATGAGAGTATAATAGCAAAGATATAAAGTGGACAGAAGATGTCTGATGTTGCTGGGCAGTATGGCTTGAACAGGTCTACATTAGGCTGCAGTTCAATCTTATCTAAGAAAGATAAATTATTATCATGAAGATTCAAGCAGCTTAAGAAGTAACAAAATTCACATCTGAGAAATAAAGAACATCGAAGAGTTTATAATGGAACCTGAAACTGATCTGATGGCAGAAGAATGCCAAGAAACTATGCAAGATATGTTATTTTCTGAAAAAGAGGATTAATGCCAATATCTGCTATTAGACATCTTTTGAAGAAGTGGGAGGATGTCAAAACAACAGTCTTAGAATGGCCTTAGTGGTTAATAGGCTTGGGATCTCTACAATTACAATGATATTAATTACTTCTGAAAAACCCTGAAGGAGAGAGAGAAGCAATCGACATTAGACAGATTCTTTAACCCCCCACAAACGGAAAAAACATGACTAATAAAAATGCAAGACTGTATGTATGTATTTTTATTATTACNGATTCTTTAACCCCCACAAACGGAAAAAACATGACTAATAAAAATGCAAGACTGTATGTATGTATTTTTATTATTACATATAAATAAACGTAGTAAGAAAGTATATATATTTTTTTATTTTTGGGGATCTCCAGAACGAATTAAATTCCCATTAAAACTTATGGTAAATCGATAATCGGTTAACGAACAATTCGGATAGTGAACAAAGTCTTGGAACGGATTATGTTCATTAACTGATCACCCACTGTATACTGAATTTATTGTTAATTTAAATAATAGCTAGGGGTGTCCCTAGTGGCCATTTTTGGCATACAGTAACAAAGAATCCAGTTTTTCAGCTTTATATAGTAAGATTTGAAATTTAATGCTCAGTGGTGGATTTTTTAATTAATTATTTAATGAAAAATATTATCTGCATTTAAATACAGGGTGTTTATAGAGTTCCACTTTAAATGGCCATAAAATGAAAACTACTGGACAGAATGTTATCAAACTTGGTAATAGTGTACAGAACATCATGGGATTTTATTTCCTGCGAAAAAAATAGTTCAAAAATTTGCCACCAATGGGAAATGGCGGTTTGCAATATTGTTAAATGAAATAAGATATGAAGACATCGTTGAAAATATTTTTAATTGGTTTTAAAACATGTTACTGAGCATGTTCAATGTGGTGGTCATCATTTTTGATAAGCAAGTTACATTGCATTACTATGTTCTCAACAGTAGCTCTTAGCATATCAGGAGTAACCCCACAAACAGTTTTGTTTTAAAACTAATTAAAAACATTTTCAATGATGTCTTCATGTCTTATTTCATTTAACAATATTGCAGACCGCCATTTCCTGTTGGTGGCGAGTTTCCGAAATTTTTTTTCGTAGGAAATAAAATCCCACGATGTCCTATACACTATTACCAAGTTTGATAACATTCTGTCCAGTAGTTTCCATTTTATGGCCATTTCAAAGTGGAACTTTAATTATAAACACCCTATACTTTTAATTTGAGAATTTTTAATAATCAGTTTGGAACTGGCAATTCATTAACTTCTATTGTAAACATTCTGGTTTAATAACCTTCAGATTATCAGTCACTTTTCAGAAGTTTTGATGAATAATAATCTGACATGCTACAGTATAGGTCTGAAAAATAAATATTTTATGCACAGTGATGCACAGGAATCATTGTAAATGCCATTTTTGTGCAATAACATCTTGTTAACATTTTTGCTTGTTTTCAATCTTAACACAGTATAGTTATGCACTGTAGATCAATTTGATTATAGTCTGTGTACAATTCAGGAACATAGAGCCAGGGACAGTACTTTGGAAGCCTTTATAGAATTTCCTTTGCCAATTATTTTCTTAGTTTGACCACAATGAAAAGTTTTTTTTTTACTCTTTCCACCCTGTGGACCCTAAGAGGGCCTTTTTCAGCAAGCCCATTTATGGGTTTGGCCAGGTCCACAATGGGGCAGCCGGGTGGTGGGGGATGGGGCTCAACATATTTGGTCAGATCATTCCCCGAAAAATTCCTGGGGATTTTTCGACCCGTTTGGATTCAATTCCGGGTCTCCCAGAGCGGAAAGTTGCCATCTTGACTGCTCGGACATTTGGCCTTTAATATAAAAAAAGTATTTAACTATTATGTATTCCTCAATCTGACTTCTTCATATCAGAGAATTTATTTTGATTTTATTCTGTTCAATTTATTATTTTACCCCTTTCTTCATTTGTAAGTGGAGAATCCCACTGTGACACAACACGTTTTCTCTAGCACTTTGTGTTCCAGCAACTGTCCACATCACCAGTATCTTGAGTCAACCCAACATACATCAGTGTGCATTGGTGCAAAATCTAAAATTCAGATACTTCTGAACATTATACAATTATGAAAATACAAAAAAAATCTGGGAACGCTAATTCTAGAGGTCAGCGGTCTGCAACTTCACTGACCACTAAACTCAATTTTGAATCCCGCTGACCACTATCATGAATTTTTTTATGATACAAAATCTGTAGAATAATGATAATAAAAGTTTAATTTTACTATATTAATATGAAACTCATTTGTTTAATTGTAATAAATTAATCCAAGCCTAAAGTTTGTTGCTGCTTGTTTGAAATAAGTTTATGGATCATTGGCACTTTTCTACAAAGGAGGACAATCACACTCACAATATTGTTTATTGTTTGTTATTTATTGAGAACAGTCACTTTGAGGGGTTTTTAATTTAAAACTAAAACCAAATACAATGAGTGAAAAAAAAAGCAACTAAGCATTTTGCATTTCTTTTCATAATACTTTGTGTAACCTTCAGTTGATCAATGTCCAAATTTCTCCATGGACCACTCAAATTTTCTCGCAGACCATCAATGGTTCACAGACCGCTGGTTGCTGACCACTGATATAGATGCTAGATTAATGAACTTCTACTATAATATTAAACTAAGAAGTGTTTTTTTCAGTTTATAGCTTATAATAATATAGGATCAACAGAATTTCTTCTCATTTCATGAAACAGAATTTTAATATTCACCAGATATTTTAAGATTAAGAACTTTAACAGAATATTAAATCCAAACTTCTAAATTCTTTCATTTCATACAGTTTTCTGGTTTTTTAACAAGGAAAATGCTAAATGGTTCATCTGAAAAATAATGAATATTTTTTCATAAAGTAGTGCATATTTTTCCATATGTCACATTATATAGCACTAATAAAAGATTATAAGCAGCATGTTTTTAAATGCTTTCATAAACTGCAAATTATTTTTTAGGAGAGAGCTTATTTTTAACAAATTTTTTGCTTTTAATTTTCTGGAGTAATTTTAAGTTTTATCCCAATTTGAGGTAAATATTAAGTTTGTATGCCTGGAAATGTAATTTTTTTTTTATTTTTGCAAATTATTATACAGTAGAGCGTCGTTTATCTGAAAGTCAATTATCCGAAAGAATTCCAGTCGGCAAATTTAAATTTTTGCCGGTACTGTGGCACTGCAATCTTTGGCTATGTCTTGGGCTACTCGGATATTTTACGTTTTTGATACTAAATTAACTTCTGAAGTATAATTTTTTATTGTTTTTATATTTTTCAATATATTTATTTTGTTTGTACAAAATAAAAAAATAATTTTTAATGATACAATAGCCTTCGTTAGGCTTAACATCGATGAAAATTCGAAGCGACATGCAATGGAGAAAAATTTTAACATGAGATAAATTAATATATTTTTTCGTACATAATCGGTTATCTGAAATATCAATTTTCCGAACAACCCCGGTCCCCAATTCATTCAGATAAACGACGCTCTACTGTATGTTTATAATTTATTACATTAAAAATAAATTCCATTATTTTTAATAAAATATAAATTTCTTTTTTAGCAAATGGATAAGATAGATCTGACGGAACATACAAAGATGTGAGTATGGAATTGATTACAAATATTTGCTTTAACATAGTCTAAAAAATTTCATTTTCTGGTTTTTCTTAATGTAACAGTTTTGAGATAACACTTTTACAAAAGCAGTATTATATTTAATCCGAAACTTGGTGTTTGGTCAATTTGGCTTTCTTTATTAGTAAAAAAAAATTTAAAGTGATTTTACAAAAATTTTGTATTTCTAAAAAAAATTAAGTGGTGTACAGTACATAAGATAAATTATACTTAGTGTGAATAGGCTGTAAATATATTAGGTTTTTTTATTTTGGGCAGCAATTTGTTTTTCTTACTAGGATTGCAAGATTGCTTTTGATTTAGTATTATGATCAACAAATCTATAGGGATCTTTAAGTTCTTAATGTTTTTTTTTGTGGAAATTAACACTTTATTTTAAAAAAGTCATAAAAAATCATGTCACTGAAAGTATTGTTCATCACTAGCCACTACTTTCTCCCATCGTTCTGGTAGCATTTGAATTCCACATCTTTTGAGGCTATCCAAGAATCAACCCATTTTTCGGCATCTTCATAAGAATGGAAGTGCTGCTCAGCCAGGCCATATGCCATCAATCGGAACAACTGATAATCAGAAGGGGCAATGTCTGGTGAATACGGCAGGTGGGGTAGGACTTCCCATTTAAGCATTTCCAAGTAGGTTTACACCGGTTGTGCAACTTGTGGCCGAGCATTGTCATGTTGCAAAATCACTTTGTCGTGTCTCTGCTCGTATAGTGGCCGTTTTTCCTTCAATGCTTGGCTCAAATGCATCAATTGAAGTTGATAGCGATCTCCCATGATGATTTCATTTGGTTTGAGCAGCTCATAATAAACTACTCCTAGCTGATCCCACCAAATGCAGAGCAGAAGCTTTGAACCATGGATATCCGGCTTTGCTGACGATGTTGATGCATAGCCGGCTTACCCCACAATTTTCTACGCTTAGGGTTATCATAGTGTATCCATTTTTCATTGCCTGTCACAATACGATGCAGAAAACCTTCCTTTTTTGCCGTTGAAGCAGCTGTTCACATGTGAAAAGACACCGTTTGACGTCTCTCAGCTTCAACTCGTATGGCACCCAATGTCCTTGCTTTTGAATCATTCTTAATCCTTTCAAACGTTTCGAAACTGTTGTGTTCTGCAACACAACAGTTTCAAATTTGCAACAACACAATGATATTACTGATTTTTCTGCAAGTTCTGTAACTATTCTGCAAGTTTATGAAGACTCATGTCAGACACTAGTTGAAGTAATGCCTTCAATTCCTTGTCTTCAAACTTTTTTGGTTACCAGATTGTTCTTTATCTTCAACATCAAAATCATTGTTTTTGAAGCATCTACTCTAAACCAATCTCTGTATGTTGTTTCCGACAGAACGTGGTCGCCGTAAATCTCAACAAAAATTCTGCATGCTTCAGCTGCAGATTTTTTTGAATAAAATAGTGCAATAAAATTCCCCGCAAATACTTTTTCTTTTTGGCACGAAAATCGACATGTTTAACACTATGAAAAAATAAGTTGTTTACACTTCAGCAAATGACATATATTGAATTTCAAGGTCGCTTATTGTACTTCCTTACAGATGTGTCTTCATCTAAAAATACACGCACATGGTTCTGGTAATGCCATCTGTTGGAAAACAGCGAGAACTTATTCAAGGTCGCTATATCTTATCATGGTTTTGATTATGGAAATTAGCTACTAAAACTAATTTATATATTCAAGGAATAGTGAAAACACTTATTCAACATTGTTTTTGATAGCTAATTGATGTAACAGGTCAACTGAAGATCTTAATTGTTTTTAATAATTACTTTATATTTAGTTCTCATATTACCACATCCATTGTATATTTTTAGTATTGCACCAACTGATTTTCCTTGTACCATTCAATGTAACATTATCTTGTGAAAAATCTTGATTGCATTAAAGGTTGCATGTGTGGTGTTTTTTTTCATTTAGATCAAATTTTTATGAAAGAAAATATAGAAAACTGTTTAAAGGTGAGGAAGAGAATGAAGTTGCTCAAAAAATAAATTTGTGTATAAAACAATTTGTTACAGCATATTAGAGTTTGAAAGACTATTACTGTTCACTTTTATGGGAATGTGAGGTTTGTGAATGGTATTTAGACTTGGATACTAGCAGTTACTTTGTACATTTGATATTACTTTACTGAACTGCAAAAGGTGCATCATATATAGATCTAGAATAAAAAGTAAAGGCTGATTTCATGCTATCATGCTAGTGGTTTTATATGTGCTACATTCCCACTATGGAGAAACTGTAGCAATTCATAGATGTTTGAAAAATCAGTAATATCATTGTGTTGTTGCAAATTTGAAATTCTCTCAATGTAAAAAACCATAACTTATTTTCCAAGCACTCAAGATGACATCAATCTAAATTGTGCACTGAAATAGTTTGAATTGGCTTTAATGCTCATACTGTGATAGAGTATGAAATATATAGAATAAAACTGTACACAAATTGTATTAATCAAAAAATGTGTATAGAATAGTGAGTGATGAAAATAATTGAGCACAAATGAATTAGCAAGGATCAACTGTTAATGACACAACAAACATAAGTTGGTCTACTGATCAAAATCATAGAGTAACTCCATGATAAAAATATCCAAGCACACTGCCATCACCACCAATGTTGCCAAGTTACTTGATTCCCACCAAATTTAATGGGAAGTGCAGTATTTTTGGTGGAAAATTTTGGGGTTAGATTTTTATACATTGTTGTTAGGCTATTTTTAAAAAGTAACAATATCCTTAAAATGACAAGAAAAGCAATGTTTATTGTGCCCAAGCTCTGTCATTCAGAGCTTAGTGGGAACTATAGTTTGAACAAATGGAAAGTTTGTGTATTACTTGGCAATAGTTTCAGTAATACCCAAGAGTATAGTAGTGTTGGATTACTGGACGTGTTAACTAGCAAATGGCTGGATTTGATATTCTACTGTTTTTATATTTCTATAAAAATTATTTTATAAACTTAGTTTTGTCCCCACAATAAAATGAATTTTGTATAAGTAATACTTTGATGGGGGATTTTTCATTGTAATGAAAGAGTGACTAATTATTTCATAGCAAATACATAAAGGATTCTCTTATGCTTCATTAGTTGATTTGTTCAATTATTTGTTCAGACTTCACACATCATTATATGACCACTAACCTTCAAAAAAATCAAACCAGTTTATGTACTGTACCTGAAACTTTTTTGGGGAGGTCAAAAATGCAAAAAGTAATAAAACCTTTTTTCATATAATTGCTAAATTTTTGTATTTTCCCTTTTGATTCTTGAAGAGTTGATGGAAAGTGTTAGCTAGAGAAATGATCTCTTTAGATATCATTACTAAATATGGAGTTTTTTTAATTAAACGTATTACTTTTTCAAAGCTGTTGGTTAAATTAATTAGGTTCTCATAGAAATGTTTGCCTAATTCTAATATATAGCTTTTCACTTTAAAAAGTTTGTTTAGTTGTTTTGTGTGTTATATTTTTCTAAATTTTTACAGATTAGAAGAAAGAGAGGTTATCACAAATGATCTCTCACAGAAGTTAGATGATCACAAATTTCAAGTTAATAATTTGAAAGATCAATTAAGAAAATTAACAGAAGAAAATAAGGTACACTTTCTTTTAAAATATTTTGTCATCTATACTAATATTATAAAGAGGTAATGTTTGTAAGTTTGGATGTAGGGGTAATATCAAACTACTCATCCGATTTCAAAAATTCTTTCACCAATATTTAGAATGGAACTTCAGGGTGGACATAGGCTATATATTATTCCGTTAAACATTCATATAAATTAAAAGATATCATCTAGGGTTAAGGCTTTTATGTCCAACAGATGGTGCTACAAGTACGACGACCTAAGTTTGCTTTTCTGTGAGGATTAACTAAAGCAGATCATCATCTACCTATCTATATAAATAAAAATGTAATGTTCATTTGTTCCTACCGATTCCTTTGAAATTTTGACACAACACTGCATTCAAATAAGCACGTGTTTTTATATAATATACGTGTCAATTCCCCCACTGGGGGAAGATGGACAGGATTAAGGCTTACCGTAAAGAACTCTGCTTCTATTTATACTATTTTAGATGCGGTTTTTGCGTTTTTGATTGCGTTTTAATAGGGTATGTCAACAGAATATACACTAAAAATAGATTTTTTGATATTCCCCCTTAGGAGAGAGGGACAAGATTAAGGCTTACTGTGAAGAACTTCGCTTCTATTATACTATTTTAGATGCGGTTTTTTGCGATTTTGATTGCGTTTTAATAGGGTACATCAAGAGAATGTACACTAAGAAGGGGTTTTTCGAAAAATCCCCCCACGAGGAAGTGTTATACATTTATAATAGATACATTTTGAGCCACAACAACGTGTGGCGGGGTCTGCTAGTTTCTTATATAGAAAATAGTTCTTAATCTTCATAAATTCTAAAATTTTACTATAGTTTAAAACTGAATTGTTTGAAGAAAACCATTTTTATTAAATTTACTTTGATTGTTCAAATTAGAATTAAATATTTGTCTAAGAAAGGGACATATATTGAATCTGAGATAGGATTTACAAAACTTTTAGTTTATGTAATATTTTGACTTGCTGATTTCAGTATATAACAATAAGCAAGACTTATTAATTCATGATTCATCACCATACAGTTGAGATAGGGATTTCCTAATATGATAGGTAGATCTTGCTTTTGACTGACTTATGGAAAATTGCTAATCACATTCCATAAGCTCTTGAGCCATGTATTACTGAATAATTGTTTGACAAACTTCAAATGTTATTATATAATTTTTCCAGATTAATTTGAATTATTTATGAGCAACCAAAATGAAGTCTATCTATTTTTAAATTGGAAGAAAATACACTACAGAAATGTTGCTCACCAAACAGAAATGAACTAAAATTGATTTTGGAATATCTGAAAAAATTATACCAATAGCTAATTCACTATTAATTTTGACTATAATCATATTAAATTCTTTAGCTTTTTCAAGTTTGAAAAATCTAAACTGTTCCCTTATCTGAATAGTTTTAGCTATAACATTATTTCAGATTATCCAAGAATAGACTTATTTTAAATTAATACTTTAAAATTTAAACACAATCAAAGGTGTAGTATTTGTAGCATAAGACCAAAGTCTTTGTATGGTAGGAGACACAAAAGGATAGAAATCTAGATCAAAAAATTCTTTTTATTGACAGTATACACACAACAAAGTGTTGATGTACTGTACCTCAGTTTCTTCCAAATAAGTGATGTAAAAGTAAGGCCTTTCTTTGCTTCTACAAATAAACAAAATAGCTTATACCATGATGCAAAATGTTTGTTTTATCTGTTATAAAGGATAATTTCTAATTTGAAAATAAGGGATTTGCAAATCACATCCTACTGTTACAAGATATTATTTTCAGCTTCTTTATTTCTTTCAAAATCCTACATACAAAATAAGAAAACAATTATCAAAATATCAGATTTGGTATGAATAAAACATGTAACTTCTAAAAATTTATTAAAAATAATCTGAATTTCATTGTGTTCAATTTTCACTCAGATGTGGTCAAAGGTATCATAGGATATCTAATGAATAAGTTGATTTGTAGAACAAAATATACAAAACAATATAAGCTAAAGGTATTTTAAAAACAGCTTATTATTGTGGTATGATTTCAAAAAATGAAAGGATGTATGTCTGCAAGAAATTTCAGAGAGCTTTTTTAACAAACTAACAAACTGTTGAAAGGTTCCCTTTTCCTAATTAGTAGAATTTAATTTTAATATTCATGTAATTTTTTGTTTTAGAAACTTTTAGAAGAACAGAATAAGGTACAGGAAGAAATTGATGCAGTTAAAATGAATGCTGATAAAAAAGTGAAAGAATCTGAAATCAAAGCTGATGAAAGAATAAAAATGATTCAAGAAGCAGCAGAGGAAAGAGCACAGGAAATTCAAAAAGAAGCTGAAAAATGTAAAATTGTTCAAAAATCACTTGAAGAAGCAAATCTAAAAATTGCAACATTACAAAAAAATGCAAGTGAAGTGGATAAAAAAATAAATGAGATATCAATTGAAGCAAGTACTAAAGTTTCTGAAGCCAAAGCAAATGCAGAAGCTAAAATAGAACAGATATTGAGAGAGGCTGCAGAAAAATACAATGAAGTTCATCAAGATTATGAAGAACGTTTAAAAGAAGAACGAGCAACTCATAAAGAAGAAATTGGAAAATTAACTTTAAATTTAAAGGAACAACAGAAAGCTTATTCAAATATGGAAGACAATTTTATGATATTCCGTAGTGAAGTGGATAAAATGTTGGATAAGACAAAAAAAGAAACAGAAAACAAAATGCTTGAAAAGCAAATAGACTTGGAGAATAAAGTGAAAGAATTTCAAAAAATTATAGATTTAAAACATAATCAAATAAATCAGCTTAATGAGGTAAGAAGCTTTAATTTAGTTGGAATTTTTACTTAAGTTAGAATGATATTAAAATAATTTATCAGAAGTATTGTGTATTATAGTACATAACATTTAAAGTTTTGCTTTAAAAAATTTAACATTTTATATATTAATACTTAATTTCAATTTTTAAAATTAAACTTTTCAAAACCAAAATTATTCTAATCTAGATTTTAAAAAAAAAAGTGTGAGAACTCGCAGTGTGGAGATAAGATCTTGCTCCAACTCCTAAAACCTAATGCAAGATTGGGATAGTGAAGCCTGCTCACAAGGTCTGGAATGGCTATTATTTAAGAAGCCAACAGATCATAAAATCTCTGGCTCATGTCAGGGTCCTGACATCAGTTAGGATAAGAAAATTGCATCCTAACTTGTGGTAAAATCTATCTTTAAATATATGTTTGTGGGGAGGGTTAAATTCATTGATAGTGACCAGCATTTTAAATGAATTGAGTTCAGAATTAGGTTAAATACACAAAGAAATCTTTAAATATATATATATATTTATTTATTTATTTAAAGATATATATATATATATATATTAGGATTGTAATTAGACCATGATATAATAGGAATTTAGTTATCTAAGCCTCACACAGATTGTGCAAGAAAGTTTACAATATGGGTTTCATAATACTGTACCTCTAAATATGATATTAGTTGAGTTTTTCTTCTATGGGGGGGCAATGATCGTCTTGCTTTTTCTTGTGACATTTATTTCACAAAATAAGTGGAGGAGAACCTTTCAAAGGAGCAAAGGAGAGAGCAAGCCCAGAAACAGGATGTTTTTCCCTTTTATTTCTGAACCTGCTTCAATTGGGGGTTAAAATCACACACCATGTGAAAGGAACCAAGGGGTGAGTCATGCTGCAAGTTGCGTCAACAACATGTGAGATAAGATCATTTCCCATGATGAAATCAGCTATCTTGGCAAAACAGAAGGAAGTTGTATTTTGCTTTTACCAAATTTGAAAGTAAAGGAAAATTTATGGCTTATTTTCTAACTAAATAATTTCTCAAAATTGTTAAATAATTAAGGAAAATTCTAAATAAATCTTCCCAATCATGAAAAGATTCTTGCATTACATCTTCATGTTCTCATAAAAGATATCAAACTTATCAAATTATTTGGTGTAAATTTAACTGGATGATTCAAAACTTGTTAACAAATTGAACATATTTCACATGGGGCTAAGTGTATTCTGATCACTTAGATCTCCTCTTATTTTGGAGATGTTTTGGTTCACATTGACATCATTCAAGTTTGGATTAGCTGCACATATAGCATCATAGAACAGAATTTTTAACCAATGAAATTGTTAATTTTCAAAAATGCTGAGTAGAAAATTATAGAGCATGTGGTAAATGCTAAATTGCTAAATTAAGTTTCCATCTAAAGTTAGCTTAGATGGAAACTTAAATAGGTGCAATATTTTACGGAATAAGTGATTTGTAAAAATCATAAGTTGTGTAAACGTTATTAAGAAGCATTTCATGTGTTACAGGGAATCCACATTCCTTAAGTAAATACAATTATCTATCATCCCTTTATAAATTTCTAAGATTAATATGTGATCCCCATTTGGTTAAATATGTCTTACAAGAGGACCTTACGGTCTCAGAAATTCAGTTCAGGATGAGACTTCACAGGTTAGTAGTATACTTCAACGGTGTCCACCGAGAAGAATTGAAAAGTGCACTATCCAGAAGATTCTGAGAAAAAAAGGCTCTAAAATTTTAAGCACGGCTCATATACTGGTCAATTTTACACTATTGCAGCACAGCGAAATGGCCGAGTCTGTAGTGAACTCGCTTGCCAGGCTTGCGATATAGATTTGATCTTATCTTCAGTTAATTTTTTTAATTGTTTTGAAAATTATAACAACTTTTAAATAAAGTTAATGACCTAAAAATATTATGAGGTGCACTTAAAACTTTAGAGCCCTTTTTCTCGGAATCTTCTGGCTAGTGCGCTTTACAATTCTTCTGGGTAGACATCCTTGAGGTATACTACTACCTCAAGGTTATACCTGCAAAGTCTCATTCTGAACTGAATTTCCAAGACCGTAATGTCCCCTTGTTAGCTTCATCCTTTATGATGTCTAAAATTTGTTTATACTGCAAAAGCTGTAGAGATGTTCCATTTTTTTTTTTTCATTGGTTTTAGTTAATATTTAGTGTAGGTAGGTGTTTTTCTAATGCATATTGGTCTATGCCTGTGTCTTTATGGCAAGTATGAAATAAATATTGGACTTTTGCTGTTCAAAGGATTTCTCATATTGAAATAGGCTGATTTTATATTATAAGGATTAGTTTAAAAACTTCATTGAAAAATAGTTTATAGGAACTTGTATAAATTTAATTCACTGCTAGATCCACTGATTTAGGAAGCATAGATATGAAAAAGATAACAATTTTAGATCTAACTAGATATGACTGATTTCATCTGAATCATAGTATTTTATATGGGGATACAATCATTCAACTTGAATTTTCTAACTGGAAAGAGTGCATTTTGAAATCTTTTAATGCAGATGCTAAGTATTTTTCAGTATTCTGTATAAATTTAGTTTTTTTGTGTATTAAATATTAGCAGTGTGATCCGAAGATCAATAACTATGTTATTTATTACACAATTTTGCAATTTTAAATTTTCTTGGTAATTTTCAGAATTTAAAGCTTAATTACCAGAAATAGATTTGAGGAGGTTTAAAAAATTGTAGGTTCTTTCCCATATGCTGTCTTTAATATTTTATAGGTTTCTGTAGCTGTTTTTTTTCTAGCTGAAAAAATAATATGCACATGTGAAAATCTCATGGTGTTAATTGCAGACAGCATGTTGGACATGTTTAAAACAACTAATATGTCTGTGTCATAAGACAACCTGACTTATATAAAAACCTATTGCACTTTGAAGTTATGCCTAGCATCTACTGTAATCATGAGACTATGTTCCATTAGAGTGCAGTTAGTCTGAAACTGATAGAGAAATAACACTTAATCTATTACCATTAAGTTGACTTTTTATATTATAAAAGTTCAGAATAACGATTTTCATATGTATATCTAAAAAAATTACAGTAGAGCATTGATTATCTAAATACTGATCAACCAAAACACTGGTTAACCAGAAGTGTTCCAAACGGCAAATTCAAATTTCCGCTAGTGATGTAGCGCTGCAATAATTGGCTATGTCTTCGGCTACTCGAATATTATTTTTGTTGGTGTGCGTGTTTTAGCTGGCAGCACTGGCGCGACCACAAGAGAGTACTTAAGGATGTGCCAGTATATGAACAAGGCTTCCCCCCCCCATTGTGAGTGGTGAGTTTTGTTTGTTTTTTGTGGTGTTTTTCTGAGGACTGTGTGTTGGGATGTTTGACGTGCTGAATTGGAACATTTTTGATACTAGATTAACTTATGAAATATAATTTTGTTTTGTTTCGATATTTTCAATATATTTATTTTGTTTGTGCAAAATAAAGAAATAATTCTTAACAATACAATAGTTACAATTATTATTATTTTCTAAATTTTTTGTTAGGCGACTATTTTCGTGTTGCTTTGCATTGAATTTTTGTCAATGGTGAAAATTCAACGCAAAGCAACACGCAGCTGAGAAAATTTTCTACATGGGATAGGTTAATATATTTTTTCGTACATGATCAGTTATCTGAACAATTCCAGTCCCGATAATCGATGCTCTACTGTAGTTTCCATATAAATGAAATTACTATTCACTACTGAAAATCATAATTGGGATTGATTTGAATTATTTTTACAAATATATTAATCTAAGCTCATTACTTATATTGTTAATGTAATAATAATACAGAATCTTAATATTTACTTATATTAGCAATCTTCAGAATTGCAAAAACAGAGAGATCGAGTATCAGAAATTTTACAAAGGCTTTTCCCAGATGTATGTGTTAACTGCAAACAGGTAAGCTATTAAGTTATTCAAACAATTTAAAATAAACAAAAATTAGCTATTTAGCTACATTCATTGTATCATATTTCCTCTTTCCACAAATGTGAAAGCCCTTTACTTTGAAAGGTTTTTGAGATTGCATTTAAAATATGTACCTTGTACTGGAATGTTCTAGGAACTACTACAGTTTCATTTATGTGCTTTTTTTACAGTTTACTAAAAAAGGGTGCATTGAAATGTTTCTTGGCCTGTGGTGATTTTCCTTCAAATTTGCTTTACTGTATTTGTTTGCTAACATTTTCAAATTGTATATAATTCATAAATAATATGAACTTAATTATGTATAAAAACAAAATCTCAATTCTTCAGAAATGAATGAATGACTGTAACAAAATATAAATTTACCAAGATGTAAAATGTTTTTGTATCTAATTGAAATGACAAATTCATTTGACTTTGGATTTTCTATAAATAATGGAATTCTCAAACTTGTAGCAAAGTTAAGAGGCAGCAAAAAGATTTCTTTTTCCCTGGGACAACAAGCAAATCATAGTTTTTTTAAAAATTCAAAAATTACACGTAATTGTAAAAAGAAAATAAAATGTGCAAATGGAAAGCTTAATCTGTAGAAAGGAATTTAAGGTAAGATAGTTTGAAACTTTATGTATGCCCATTCTTTCCCTGTTTTGATTAGGTAGTGTTAAATAGGAAATGTGATTTATTGGAAACAGTGTGCTGCAGTTGAATTGTTAAAAGGTGTTTTTTGGGGGAACATTTAAAAAAACACTTCCTAACTTTTGGTAATATTACATTGTATAAAATAGTTATAGTATAAGTTTTATAAAACAATGATCTAGAAATTAGAAGTTTTTCCTTTATGATAAAAATAGGCAATGTACAAAATAGTCAAATTCATCTCCTTATTGAGAATAATGCAAATCTGGAAAAATAATTGCAAGATCTTTGCGAATTGGTAAACAAGATATGAGTTTCACACATAACAAATTTTCCCTATTTTTTTTTTTTTTATTTAAAACTATTAAAATTAAACTGGGATTAATTAGAAATAATATCCAATATAAAATATTAAAGATTCATTTAAAACAAAGTGCTACTTAACAATTCTTTACAAAACATTTATACATGGGAGGCAAAATGTTAAATAATGAACTGAAATAAAGTAGCACACTCATATTTAAATATATTTACTGTTTTGTTTTTGTAAATAGTTATTTGATTTCAATAATTTTATTGAATAATTTGTTAATCTCTAATCAATAATATGTTGATCCAGTATAAATACTGACAATTTTAAATAAAGCTTTTAACTTTTTTTAAAAATGTTTAATTTTTTGACTTTCAGTATCAGGATGAATGGTTTGTTCAATTTGAAGAAAAATCATCCAATATCTTAAATAATTATAAAAAAATGATAAATGATCAAGAAATATTTATTTCTGATTCAAAAAAGACTGGTCAAGTGAATGTTTTAGAATCGAAAGAATATAATGAAAAGCTTGAAGCTCAGGTACTTCATTATAAGAAGGTTTTATCTGAAACAGAAGACATTCTTAACAAACTACAGACAAGTGTTGAAACTGAAGAACTTACATGGGAAAATAAATTGAAAGCTAAAGATGACTTAATCAAAAAGGTAATTATGGATATTGCTGATAATTTAGTTTTTTTTAATCTTTATTGGAATTAACCTATCCTTTAGGATCTAGATTTTGAATATAAATTGCTATTATCTATTAGACTTAACAAATTTACTGTACCAAAAAAATTTCCTTGATCTTTCTCATATACATATGCACATATTTGGTTTGTGATGCATATACAGTAGACCCCCTATAACGCGAAGATATATTCCTCATTATACGAATTTCGCGTTTTAGGAATCCTTGGGCTGTGATTGGCTCACGTATTTGACACGTGTGAAGTTTACTGACTACGGCTGTTTGAAAGGTTTTCTTCCATAAAATTAATAGATTCTAGACTAATTCAACTTAACATTTCCAAAATACGTATATTTTTTTTGGAAATAATCCGTATAAACTACGCTATAAACAAAAAATTGTAGGATTACTTACCGAGTGTGCACCATTTGACATCGCCATTGCTCAAGCTTGTTTTCGTTGCGGAACAGTGCAGCAAACTGCGGCCGCGATTTCAGATGTTATTTTTCTGTGAAAACTTCGTTGAACTTTGGAGACATCATTAATATAAATAATTTTTATGGCCGTTGATTAAGGAATGTTTCTTTCACACGAAATGTATAAAATTATAGTACTGTATTAGACTTACAGTACCTAATTTACATACTGTACAGACGATAGTTCGCCTAAACTCTTCGTAGCGTAGCGCTAGACAGCGAAAAATAGTTCGGCTGCTCGTCTGCGATGACGAGTTGGCAATGATGTTTTACCGCGTTTTACGTGTCCCTTTATATAATTATATGTACAGTACCTTATTTATATATAATACTGTACAGACGATAGTTAAACTCAACTTACCTGCATAAACTCTTCGTAGCGTAGCGCTAGACGGTGAAAAATAGTTCGGCTGCTCGTCTGCGATGACGAGTTGGCAATGATGTTTTACCGCGTTTTACGTGTCCCTTTATACGAATATGCCGCAATTTTTTCGCCGCGTCATAGGAATCTACGTTATTGGAACCCGCGTTATAGGGGGTCTACTGTACTTGTATTCTAATATTTTCTGTACCCTAATACTTTAAGTACCAGATATATAAGTGTGATTTTGTAAAATCCTTTTGAAACGAGCAGGGAAAATGGGAGGAGCTTCCAGGAATGAACAAATTGCACATTAAAGTGTTATGACGTCACCACTTGGCTGAGCCATGTGGGTGTGACCTACTGCAGAGGGACTTAATGATCACACTAGTGGTACCAGGTATTTCCACTCTCTATGTATTTCAATCGTTAAACTGCTCTCAAGAGTCCCTGAAAGTCTTGGTGTCCTCACTGCCACCCAGATACTCATTGTGGCTTTGATAATAGGCATCTCAGTGTAAGAGTGGAAAGTAAAAAAAATTTTTTTTTATTTTATATATTACAAAATTTTAATGTTCTGTGGTTTTATTAAAATTTTGAAAGTCTTTTTTCTGCCCCAGCAAAGAATGAGGGATTCTAATACTATCTTATCTAGATTATCTATCAAAGGATCATAATAGCACTAATAATGTAATGTGGAAATAGCCAGTGTTAATATTAGGAATAAGTAGTGTGTGTACTATTGCCATTGCTTGAGTAAAGCCTTATTTTGTTTATTTTTCCAAACATAACAAGTTCTGTTTGCTATCACAAATTTCAGTTTGTTTTTAAGTATTGCCTCCTTTTTTTATTAATTCAGTTTGTCTAAATCTATTCTGTATCTGATTTTTTGTTTTAGTTTTTGTATAAAGAAATGCTAAAGTCTAATTGTATTTGATTTGTAAACTATCTTAACTTTCCAAAAAAGTTTTGATTCATATAGTTTTATTAAAGATAATATAATTGTTGCAAACTTTATAAATTTAATTCCATATATTCCATATTCCACCCAGATCAAATCTAATGCCAGGTCTGTAAATAAGTTATCTTTAAAATTTCCCAATTACTTTACCACCTCAAAAATTTTTAGATTATAGCTTTATTACCATGCTTATTTGACTTTTGTGTTTCTCTACTAGCTTAATTATGAGATATTTAAAAAATGGAGTAACTAAAGTTGGGTTTGACTTAACTGATCATTTGGTTGGAGATTATAAAATGCATAAATAGATAATTTCCATGAAAATCTAAAATTACATAAATAATGATTAACATCATGATTAGGAAAACTATCTAAAATAATAATTTTGCTTTCATTCCTGCCTTGGAACATCTTTATCTTTAAAATATTCAAAAATCAAACAACAGTTAAATTACATGAGATGACACTTTTCAAAATGAAAAAAAGCTGAGCAAAAAACAAACTGAAAATGTTTCAAGGCAGGAATGTAAACTTTTGTTTTGTGATAAAATTTAGCTACCTGAATTAAGCATATTTTGTATTTGTGACATTGTGATACCAAGAATTTGTTTGCAAATCTAAGGTCTCTAATAAAATCCCTTCCCTTTTTTATTAAAGCTATATATTTTATTATAGCTTTAAAATGGAAAAAAAGGGACTTTAATAAAAAAGTCCCCTTTTTTCCATTTCAGTTTCATATCCCTAAGTCCCTATTTTGCAAATAAATTTGTTGAAACCCCTGTAAACTAAAATCTTTGCGTCTCTCCTTATCCTTATAATGCAAAGTTAAGAAATATGGGAATTTATACATTTTGTTTAAAATTTGTTTTTAATGAAGTAATCATGAATATTTTTTCAATACAAAGGTTCTAACTTAAGTTTCTCTGCTACTTTAGCTTAATGTGGAATTATTGATAAATCATCCTATTTTATTTAAGAGTAATGCTATTTTATAATTGTATTCTTAATTTTTTTAATACAGTAGCCTCTCGTTATATTGCGCACTGATTTGTCTTCCAAATTTTAAAAGCACTCCAGTCAATAAATTTTAAATTACCAATTGTCATTGAATTTCTTTTTGCAACGAAATATGGTATTTTATTCTTACCATTGTTCTTGAAACTATCACTACAGGTGAAAAGAATAAATTCGGCAAGATCTAAATAAGCAAATTGATTCAGATGGACAGATCAATTATCATTTGTTTTCTTTTGATATTAAACATTATTTATTTATTGGTTTTAAGTACTATCTCCTCATTTATAAGTTTCTGAGAATTTGAAATTTCACACCTTTTGTGAATTAACAGAATACAGCCAATTCAGTACCTTCAGATAAAGATGTGAAATTTCAAATTCACTGTGTAATGTGTAAGGAAAAGATTTATTTATTTCTGAATGGAAAGTTCTAAAATTTTTATACAGTAGTAACTTTATTTTGCTTTTTAGAGAATTTTTACTCTGTAGTTTTATAAGTTTAAATATAGAACATATAATAGAACATCAATTTTTAAAATTTTCAATTACTGTATTTATAATTTTTATTGAAAAATATAAATTACACAAATTTTAATAAGCAATTTTATTAAGAAATATAGTACTTTATAATAAAATTGCAACTGATATTTTGTTTTTATATCAACACTATTTGTCTTTAAATGTCATTATTAAAGAAACAGTAATGCTAAATAGGCATTTGTGGTATCAATGTTTATGTTAATATCAATTAATATGATATAACCACAAATAAAATGAAGGCAGTGCCTAGTCCCAGCTTATTTTATATCACATTTGATGAAAGAATAGAGATTCCCTAGAATGTATAATCTGTTTAGTAAAAGCCTAGAATTTTTAGCACTCAGTTATATTGTGCTTTTCCTTTTGTCTCTGGATAAACATAATATAACAAGGAGCTACTGTAATTTAATTTTCTGTTTTCCTATATTTAAATCATTTTAATATCTAGTATGTATAGTAGTGGCATGCAGTGAGATTGGAAAGTAGGCATGCAGAAAAACTTTTTGATTTTTAAATAATAATAATGAACAGGAAGAAAAAATAGCAAGATGGTGGCATAGGTGCACCATTTATGCCTAAGCATAGTTGCAAACTCACATGCTTGTTTGTGAGGCTTTTTCATATGTACAAACACAGATCACCAAAATCAAATGAAAATATTCAGACTTGCACCTCACACCAAGCTGTAGTGTCCATGTGGTGTTGCAGACTGCATGGACTACAGAGCAAGAGCAATCTTATAAACTGTGTTACTGAATTCAGTAACACTGTTTTAAAGTTGTTGCCTTCTAGCAATCCTAGTTTCTGATTAGTAGCTTTGATACAAAAAATGGAGAAATAAGAATATTTTACATAATTCAAATAGTTGAATTGGTACAAATTAATATTTAATTAAAATTGAAGTGGTGCATATTTACTTTTTGTATTTTTAATGAATGGCTATTTAGCTGTTTGCAACAAAATTATCTAAATTCAAGTAACTATATAAATTTTATAATGCAGGGGGTTTTAAGTTTTGTTTATATTTTAATCAGTGCTGGATTTTTTACAATTTTTATTTAAATTACACATTTTAGTATGCAATTTTACACTGCCTGTGACATGTTTCCTTTGCCTACAGCTGGCAGAAATGAGCTTTGACTACCTCTCATCCTATCTCCCCAATAGATAGCATTGAGAGGAATGCATGTATCTTCTTTACAGGAGATGAAGGCAGTGCCTAGTCCCATTTTTTTCACAGGATCCATGAAAATCTAAATTTTTAACCATCTACCAGATATGGAATACTAAATGCATGCATTAGGGTTTCTGAAACGGGATTCCGGGATCCCGGTTGTTTTTTAACCCGGGAAATATCCCGGGAAATTTTTCTTATCCCGGGAAATCCCGCAAATTTCTTAAAAATTCACTTTTTTTCTTATTTTGTGTTAAGGTTGAGGAGTTTTGCAAATAGAAAGCATAATTAACTCATTCACTGCCAGAATACATTTGTATTTATTAATTTTAAACCTACCTATTAGTTTTTTTAAATTTTTGCTCGTTATAGCATGTCACAAATGGTCAATAATCAATATATAGCTTATTTGTGGCATGACTATAAAAATTCTTTACTTGTCGGAACCTGTAATATCTGGAATAATTGTGCTTACGCTGTCTTGAGTTTTAACCATGCCCAGTAGCTTCAATAAATGCCTGACGCCAGATTGTGCAAATTGGGCAAGGATACAAACGAGTACAAAGTCTGCAAGTATGAAGTTTTTCTTCATAAACCTGATTATTAAAGCCAAATGAATTGCCGAATTATCGAGCTCTAAGCTTGATGCCGCTATTAAAGCAGCCAAGGTAGACAAATCAAGAATACTAGAGAGCGAAAGAAGTACTACAATCTCGAAAACGAACTCGAAATCTTCCAGGCTACAGGTGAAAAAACACATAATATCTGTCTTCTCTTAAATGCATTAAACACTATTCCAATCACATCAATTGAATCGGAAAGGGCATTCTCGGTGGCAAGACTTTTCATTACTAAAATAAGAATTAGAGTGAGTTATCGGAGTATTGACCATCTTTGCTTTTTAAAATCTTATAAAAGTTTGCAATATTTTGTATTATATTTTATTTAAAAAACGAAAATTACCTTCTAAATTAGAAGTTCATTTTTTTAATTTTTAACTCAATTCAAAACATTTTTTTTTGTTGTTGTTGTATGCAGTTTCCAGCAAACTTTAATTAATTTTTTTCTATTTGTGAAAATTTCTACGTTATTTAAAGGTAATTTTTATTATAGGCCTATAGACCTAACACAGCATTATTAATATGATTTTGGAGGTTACAAAACTTTAAAATTACTTTAAAAAATGGAAAATAATTATATCATTTGATTTCAAGATATTTTGTATACCTTAAAAATAATTAATTCTATCCCGGGATCCCGGGAAACAGTTCACTTTTATCCCGGGATCCCGGGACAAGCAAAATACCGGGAAATGAGAAACCCTAGCATGCATATTAGTGGAGAAATTTGGGTAAATTGCATTTCTATGAAAACATAATAAAAACATCTGTAATGCACATCCCAAAATAATGATAAAAGTACCTTGCATACTCCGATGGCTTGCCTTTTAATGTATAATATAGTATCTCTCTTGCATGCACATTATTAAATTTATCTTGTAAGGTGTATAGATAATTGCCAAAGCTTATTGAAGATTTTAATACTTGTTAGAAAGTAGAGATGTATGAAACAATGCTTTTATATTTATAGATAATTTCTGAAAAGGAAGAAATGAGTAGGAAAATTTTGGAAGAGAAAAACAAAGATTATAAAAAGGTGAGTAATGTATTTTGCAAGAAATGCATTAAATGTTTAAAAAATAGTTTTTTTATAATGTGCATTAAATTTTAAAAGAAATGTTTGTGTTATATTACAAAAGTGCCTCTTTAATAAATACTTGCTGCTGTGTGCAATATATTGAAATTTACTGATAAATTATAACATGAATATGTGAGAAGACATGGGTAAAAAGGTATCTTCTTTCTACCGCTTATTCAGTAACAAGTTGGTAAGACTCATTCACTTTGTCAATGGATGGCTTAAAAAGATATTTATTGAATAAAGGAGATTGAAATTGCGAGATTCTGTCTCCTGTCAGGACCTGATACCAGTTAGGATAGGATTAGCACGTCCTAACTCACAATATTAATACAGTAGAGCATCATTTATCCGAATCAATTGAGGACTGGGGTTGTTCGGATAACTTATTTTTTGGATAACCAATTATGTACAAAAAAATATATTAACCTAACTATTCCATGTTTAGATTTTTCTCCATTGCGTGTCGCTTTGCATTGAATTTTCGTCAATGTTAAGCCTAATGTAAACTTTTTAAAATAATAATTGTGGCTATTGTATCATTAAAAATTATTTCTTTATTTTTTACAAACGAAATAAATATATTGAAAAATATAAAACCAAAAAAACTATACTTTAGAAGTTGATCTACTATCAAAAACGTTCAATTCAGCATGACACACAAAAGTGCTCATGCTGCCAGCTAAAAAACACACCAACAAAAAAAATATTGGAGTAGCCAAAGATTGCAGCACCACAGCACTAGCAAAAATTTAAATTTGCCGACTGGAATGTTTTCAGTTAACTGGCTTTCGGATAAATGACACTCTACTGTATTAATAATAATAAAAAGGGAAGCCTTTAAATTCTTTGATTGGGAAGATCATAGTTTTGTCGATAGGTTTCCATTTAGATTAAATAGACATCAAGGCCAATTTCACAAACAAGCAATGAAATTTAATAAAAATAAAATACAAAAGTTTATTCTAAACATAATAAACAACTCTTAAATTCTCTAATATTTGCAAGAGAGAGAGTAGATAAAAAGTTATATAATACCTCTGAGTATATTCATTAAACTCACTTCAATGAGGATTTGTATGAGAGATGGAAGTCGGGAGACCAGGCACAAAATTTAAAATATTGACGGAATGACTGATTATGGTTAATCCATGCGGAGTCTGGTGCGTAAAACACTTAACGCTTTTACGATCATTTGATGATATATTGTCACAAAATATTTTTTTTTTGTAAATTTTCATTCAATTGAGATAATTATGATTAATTCTTTTGAAGACAAAGTCCTTTCCAAAAAATAGGAACCACCATTTATTAACTTTGTGTTCCAGACATTACACTTTTGACGACTGACCTTTTCTTTTAGGCTACTGGCCGTCAAACAGTCCTTTTTAAAAAAAAAACACAAAAATATTCAATTAAAAATATAAACATTTTTAAAAAACAGGAACTGGTTTGGCCGTCTTCTATTCTCCATCATACCTTCTTGGGGTTGTTTCGGCTTTTATCTACAACGGAAGCACTGGTAAAATGTAGATGAAGAAAGCTGGCCCCTGGTGACGATACTTTAAAATTCTTGTAAATTTTCGTCCAATGGAGATAATTATGATTAATTACTTTAAAATTCTTCTTGTAAAAGAATTAATATATATATATTAATTTTATATATAATATATGTATGTATATAATTTCCAAGCATGAAATTTCTTTATGTCAAGAAGACTGTTTGTTTTAGTTTGTTCTGAGTGCATCTTTGGATTATAAACTTATTTTTCATGCGTTTTTCAAATTATATTATTTGGTCTTTGCCTGTGAGTAATTAACTGTCACTAACTTCACTTGGCAGAAAAATATAAAGTATTTATTTAACTTTTTTTTGTTGTTGTAAAACTAATTTTTTAGCTTTATATAATTAATGATCTTATGCAAAATTAAAATAAACTACACATTATATATATGTTTCAATTTACCTTAGAAACGTGACACAGAAATAATACTTTTTTCATATAAAGTAATATAGTTTGTGATCAAATAAGGCTATATGCATAAATTTTATATCAAAATGTACAGAACAAAATTGTCATTCATGCAGGCTTACTCATAAAGATCAATCATATAATCAAAAAATTTCATTTGTAATCAAATTTTTGAAAATTATAACATACAAACTGTCATTCCTGATATATTATTTTTTTTATAAATTTTTTATGCTAGCAAAAACGAACGATACTCCTGTAAACTACAATATATACATGAATTTTTTCATATGTCTGTGATAAAAACTAATTTTTCAAGAATTTTTTTAAAGAATAAAAGTGAAATGACCTTGAATGACTGAAGTTGGCAGTGAGTGTTTTGGAACAGTACAGTGAAAGCCTAATGAGTTTAAAAGGGTTAAATACAGAAAATATTCTCCAATCAGGAGCTCTTATCATGATCATTTGACAATAAGTCAATTTAGCTCAGTATTTAGTCATTGGATACAATATGAACTTTTTAAGAAAGTAAATGGTTGGGAAAGGAAACTGTTTCCTTGTTCTCTTTTAATTTCCTTCAAAAAGTAGAAAATTGTTGAATTTAATATTGCAATATTACATCAAAATTTAAATTAATAAAATTTAAATGAATCTTATCAGATTCTCACAAACAGAAACATGAATAAAGTTGGATTTAGTGGGGGTTTTGTTTTAATGGTATAATTTGATATGTAAATAAATTTTTTCTGGAGATAAAATGCATATATCAGCTGTTTCTATAATTTTTCTCAATTTGCAGATAAATAATTTTGAGACTTGAACATTGTGGTGGCAAATAAAACATTTTGAATAAAATTTTATTAATTCTTAGCCAAATTAATTTTAAATCAATATTAACATACTCGGTAATTTGGGTTATCAATGTTTGACCCTGCATGACTATATATAACAATGTTTGTGTGTCTAATATTGTTTTTAAACTTGTTTTGGAAACTTTTTACAGAATCACAAAGAAAATGTAGTTTTCACTTAACTGTGTACACTGCAAAATTTTAGTGACGACTTGTATATTTACTGTCACCTCATTTTCAAAAATTCTATAATCAAATTTTCATAATTAGTGTAATAGTTTTGTGTATTATATGAAACTAACTGAATTATTCTTATAAAATTGTACTTTCAGATGGAACATGATTTAATATGCTTACAGAACCAGATAGATTTTGAAAAGGATACAAGGGATATGATGGAGAACAATCATGAAATGGTAATAGTAATTCAAATTAACTTTTCAATTTTTAAATTATTTTTAAATTGTATGTATTATTTATAATTCAATTAAATAATCAAACATTACCAAACTATAGATGATCCTCAACTTTGATAAATGTAAATGAAAACTCTCTTTTGTATAAAACTTTATATCTCTAAATCACTTCATATGCCAAATTCAGACTTTCATAAATTTTCAGTCTAAAAAAAAAATATTCAGACTATTATACAGTGGTACTTTGTTTTTGTGGTATCAAAATTTCTTTTAATATAGTGAATGCATGGTTTTAACATTTTAAGGTATAGTGCATAAAAATATTTACTTTTAAAAAGTGAATCTTTCCAACCTTAAGAGGCTTTTACCTTTCTGGGAACAGAATTTCTTTTCTAGTGTGAAATTCTACTTCAGTCTTTCCTTCTGACACCAAGTAAGTTATGCCTACTAAAAGCATTTCTGGATGGCAATAACATGGTCTTGTATGTGACACTAGGGATAAGAGGATGGAGTAAGAAAGGATGAGATTTGGTTGGTACAACACTTTACACGGGTTTTTCACATTTTGTGGAGAGAGAGATTACAAATTTTTGTTACCTCCATAAATTCGAACGAGAATCCCTGCTGAGGATCTTTAGAATGTAGTCCTTCAGTTAGCAGTTTGGGAGAGAAGCAACAAGTAATGATGACAAGGAATCTGAGGCCACAGAAGAGCACTAATCCAAAAGAGGCACACAAACACACTAAACTGAACAATTGAAAGAACGGGCAACGACTTCCTGGAATCGGCCATACCTCATCATATTCAAGGCAGCAAGTACTTTAGAGTTGTTTAAAAGTCATGAGAAAGTTGTCACTACCGACTCTGAGAAAGCATAAGTTGACACACACTCTGGTCAGAAAGTTGACATGTAATAACTTCTGATGAGGTTATCCTTGTTGTTTTCCTTTTACTTGTTTGATTCTCACACTAGAATAAAACATACTATTGTGTTGACTTTGAACATTTAACTTTTGGATACAATACATTTCCTAAAAAAATGTACACTTGCCTGTATTAAACTTCTAATGTAAATTTGGTAATAGTTTGTCCTAGGTGTAATACCTAGGACAAGTTATACTATCTCATGTATAGTATTTTTTATTAGTCAGTTTGTCTGCTAAATTTCTTCTTGGAATATTTTTATGCTAGAATATGCAGTGTGTGATGTTAAACATTTCCCTCTAAATTTTTATTGCTTTTTTTTTCATGATATTAAACATCTTAACATTCATTCTTACACAATTTGGGTAGCCAAGTGCAATATTATTGAGATTTTGTATATTCAAATATACTTATGGTAAACTATATATTTTTTACTGTGTGGATAATTTATAATTTTGACTATTTAAAAGAAAAAAAAAGAGCAAATAACAAAATTATTATTTGGGAAAAGGTACAAAATTGTTGTGTGTAACTTATGACACAGGAACACTATTTGATGAATAAAATACTTTATTTTGTAGTGGTTTTTTTAATTTTTTTACATGGAAATTTTGTGATTTTTTTTTTTTCCAAAGAACAAGAAACTATCAAGTATTAAAGCCAAATTACTATTTCGTTTTAATACTTGATTTGCTTTTATTTTGTTAAAATACAAAATTATGAACATTGTTGGTCATGTTTGTTAGATGTATGCAAAGATGAACAAACTCCACACTTGAATTTGATTAGTTGATGTACAGTACTAGTATTTGTATGTCTTAGTTTTGTAAATAATACAAAGAATTTTGTTTCATAACAACGAAATTCCTTGTAATATTTACAATTTAAATAACCCTGTTATTTAATATTTTCATATTTTCGTGTTGAATTGATCATTTACTCAATTTTTTTTGTATGAACATCGCTTTAAAATTAATAACTTTAAGAACAATTTGCTCAATATTTTTCAATAGTTGGCAAATATCTAGCATAAATTTGTTCAATAATATAATAAAATACAGTAGAATACTTTTTAATCACTGTTCCAAATTATCAGAGGAAACCTGTAAGTGAATATATAACTTTTCTTAGGTTTAAACCAGGGCTGTGGAGTCTGAGTTGTGGAGTTTTGGTGTTTGAGTCGGAGTCATCAAAAAAATCCTCCGACTCCTTTTTCTTACCAACTTGTTATGTATATAAAATGGAAAAGTATTGGAATCATGTCAAATTTGACCCTCCAAGTTTTTTTTACAAATCTACATGTTTGGAGATCTCCTGAACCCCTCAAAAAAGTCAATAAAAGGGGAAAAATTGTGTGTGTGTGTTGGCGTCTAATTTGTTTAATTTATTTATTTTCTGTTCTGAGATATTAAACAATATCTCAGAATGGGTAAAGTTTAAGAAACGAAATGTGACACTGTAGCTTGCGTATAAAGGGGCATTAATACTATTAAATTTTGGTTCTTAATTAAAGGTCGACAGGGTGAAGACATAAAAGGGGTTATGTGTGATATGTCTTAATGAATATTTTACTTGTTATTAGCGTTTAAAAATTTAAAAAAATAAAATAAAACTCGTCTCTACCCTCAAATTAAGCTTTTTTTGTCATTTTATAATAGTACAGTGAAACTGTTAAGATGTTCTCGCCCTAAGATGTTAGAATGTGTATGGGGACATGATTTAGTTCAACCACTTTGACGCTTAATAAGTAACTCCTGTGTTAAACCATCTGACTCCGATTCTGACCACTCTGACCACAGAAATTATTAGGCTTCAAACAGGGTGAACAAAATCATGCCCCCCACACATAGT